AGGAAGAACCTAGTGATGTTAGGTTTAAGGCTAGGTTGGTTGCGAAAGGGTTAAGTCAAAAAGAGGGGGTACATTATGCATAAATCTTTGCTCCTGTTGTTAAAATCACCAGTATTCGTATGATGCTTGCTTTAGTTGCTCACCATGACTGGGAATATGAAACAAATGGATGTAACTACTACATTTTTGCATGGTGAATTGGACAAAATGATTTATATGACCCAGCCTGAGGGCTTTGTGGATCCCAAGAGAAGTGAGCATGTTTGTTTGCATAGGAAGGCGTTGTATGGCCTGAAGCAATCCCCTAGGCAGTGGAACATCAAATTTTATAAATGCATGATATCTTTGAAGTTCCAAAAATCTATTTGTGATCATTGCCTGTATTTCAAGAATACTTCTTATGTGCCTGTATTTTTGTTACTCTATGTGGATGACATGCTGATAATTAGTCCTTCTCTGAATGCTATTAAAGATGTGCAAAAATGTCTTTGTGCGAATTTTGCCATGAAAGACCTAGGTGATGCCAAGAGGATCCTAGGCATAAACATTGTTAGGGATAGGAGTAAGCGTAGTCTTACTTTGAATCAGATTTCTTACATAGAAAAAGTTTTGAGTAATTTCAATATGTTATCTGCTTCTCCTGTTAATGTCCCTATGGCATCTCACTTTGTGTTAAGTAAGGACCAGTCTCCCAAGACTGCTCCTGAAATTGAGAAAATGAAATTTGTGCCCTATTCCAGCACAATAGGGTCGGTTATGTATCTTATGGTTAACACTAGACCTCATATTGCATATGCGGTTAGTTGCTTGAGTAGATATATGTCCAACCCTGATTTGCCTCATTGGAATGATCTTAAGTGGTTGCTTAGATATCTGATATCTACTGTGGAGCATGGTTTAATTTTCTCTAAATGTGCTAGTGGTATTGAATTGATTGGTTATGTTGATTCTAAATATGCAAATGATAGAGATAACAGGAAGTCGACCATTTCTTATGTTTTTACTTTGTGCGGCTCTTGCATAAGTTGGAAGTCTCAACTAAAGCCTATTGTGGCCCTTTCTACCACTGAATCTGAGTATGTTGCAGCCACCGAAGCGTTTAAGGAAGCCATCTGGCTCAAACGCCTTGTCTCCGAAATTGGGTTTCTCAAACAGTGAGTTACCATTTGCTCGGATAGCCAATCGGCTATCCAACTTTGCAAAAATCATGTATTTCATGATAGAACTAAGCATATTGATTTTAGGTTCCATTTCATACGTGATATTGTTGATGCAGGTGGAGTCAAGCTGTGCAAGATCCCGTATGAGTTTAATCCCGTGGATATGGGTACCAAGTGTCTTTCTGCTGAGAAGCACTTGTCATGTAAACGCGTATTAAACTTTGATTGTGGATAACTGTGGGTTGCCTAATAAAGTGTTTACCCGTTTTATCTGTTGATATTCCGGGTGACCTGACGATGATGAGTCTTGTCACAACCTTGTATTGTTACTCTACATCACCTAGGACCAATAAGGTGGAGAATGTTGGAGGTATTGGTCCTACCAAGGCCTCCCTTCCACTTTATTTGCTGAGGCTTGCACCCTATTGTTTTAATCCCACTTTGATACCTTTTACCTTGGTATATTACCTGATCAATAATATACCTGTTGACTCCTTGATTACCTGGCTTTGGCCCCTTGTGCTGTCTGCTGCAGTACCTGCCCCTTGTCTTGCTATACCCGTGAGCTTCTGTCTTTGTTCACCCATGAGCGCCTAATGGGAAAGATGCCTATTATAAAGTCAACACACCCTTGCCTTTGAGTTAGTAGCCTGCGATAGATACCTTCCTGAGAGCAGTGCTCTCCTTCTTCTCTATCCCTTTGTGTGAGAACTGAGAGTGGGACTTAGTGGTGAGATAAAAACTGAGAGTGGTGTGCAAAAGCCTCTCCTAGAGTGGTGTGTGAGAGTGTGTGTAGAAAGACCTGAGCCGGAGACGGATATACAATCCTAACAACCACAACATTTACATTAATTAATTAATGTTCTCCAATTTTTGAGTGATTTTGGATACAACATCTGATTGACATTTTGTTTTTAATATATGAATGAATCATATCCATCTTAGCAATACAAATACATTTTTCCTTTGTATTTTTTATAAACTTTCAAATATGATGGCCCTTGCGCTTTATTTGATGTCGAAAACTTTCATGCTTTTAGATCCGTTATCTAAAAGCATTAGTCAAAAGGTTTTGATTCCACCTTTTTCAACCATTCTTTCATTTACAAAAGGCATGATCAATTCTACGTTAAACACAAGGCAAATACAATCTCTGCATCAAATGAGTATATATCTTTCAAAATATATATTTACGCATGATCAATTCTACGTTATCATGTCACGGGTCAACTCAAAAAGTGGCTTGAGGATTGTGCTATCAACACCACTTATAATGTGGTCTATACGAATTTGAAATTTTATGATACTTTTTGTAAAGTACGAACATTTATAATTTTTCCGTTCTATACTTTTATAAGCCCACTAATAGTTATACCATTATTAATTCTATTACCATGTAGAGTTCGCTGTTACACCTTATTGTTTACTTTAATTTTTACTTGCAATTTTTCAGATCAGATTTTTTTTTATTTTCTTACAACTACTATTTATATAATAATCAAAGCTACGACATATAAACTACCTTGAAACTCCTTTAATATTTGAAAAAAATACTCATTACATATCATCATATTGAGACCAACAGAATGAAACAAATCAAATACGGAGTATATGATAGGAGTTATATGATAAATTCGGACGAAATTATTTGCTCCTTGACACCTTGTACTAATTTTAATTTGTGAATTTTTAAGGTGTTTTTGGGAATTGGTTTATTGGAGGGAGGAAAGACATGTGATGGTTGATGACACTTTTATTTGTGTTTGGGAGTTTAGAAAATATGGAGGAATAATTTTGAAAGGCTTCTATGACCCACCAAATGCACTAATTTTTAAACTCCTCCAAAATGGAGAATTTTGAAGGATAACTAACTAAATGATAATTTAAGCTAAATTTAAAACGAAAATCATTTCAACTATTTGAATTCACCATATCTTGAAATAAATTTTAATTATAATCCTTTTAATACTCTTTTTTATAAACTTACCACTCCCCAAATAAGTAGAAGAGTTTCATCATCTTCAATCCATTTACCCTCCAATAACTTACTTTCAAAGCTTCCCCTCAAATTCCTCCCAAACTCCCAAATCTACCGTAGGGTGAGTATCAAAGTCGTGATAAAAATGGGCTGAAACACTTCAACATGTGTACTATTATGTGGGCCGAGTCGTGATTACAAAGAGACTGGTAGTGAACGAATAAAAGCAGGCTCATGTACATGCTAGGTCAAGTGCTTTTCTACATTTACTCTCTCCCTTTCTTTTTCACTCTATTTCTTTCCTTTTATAAAAATTAAACTTCATATTTTCTTTTTTCCTACCTCACCATTTCCCCATCTCTCCTACTAGACAATTCCAATGACAGGAGAGGAGCAAAATTCGAGGAAATAAGAGAGAGACGGGGCCAGCTAAAATGAAAATCTCATTTTTCATTAAAAAATTATAACTCTTTTAATTTGGCTCCAATTTTTATAAAAAATATATCAAATTTCATAACTTTTTATGACCTTTCATATGACACCAACATTGCATATACAACCTCCGTCCCAAAAAGGTTGGCCAAAGTTGACTTTCACGTGGATTAATAAAGTAAAAACTGTGTGATTGAAATTTGTGCAGAGGAGAGATAATTAATTTTAGCCACATATTCCTTACTTTAAATGGAAATGGCAAATCCTTTTTTAGGACATCCAAAAATGGAAATTTGGCTAACCTTTTCGGGACGAGAGAGTATAAAATTGAAAAAGTTGAAGCTTCAACTGCAAGAGATTTTTAGACTCAATTTTTTTCTTAAATAGATCAAAATGCTAAAGTGAAAATATCATGATTAAACTATTTTGTTTACACCTTTGATTTATTTCTTTTAAATGGGTTTGAAGTTACAACACCAATAGGAATTAACAACATTTCTATTTTCTCTGTGCCACTTTAGGTCACACAATTTCAATTTTTTAATCTTTCTTCTAAGTCAAAATAGGAATTAATTGTGGGACGAAGGGAGTAGCAATTATACACTTTTTTCATTTTATAAAAACTCTCATTCCATGCATCACACAGGTGAACTGTTCACCCAAAACAAAATTATATATGAGGTGTGTGCAATTAATCCATCTACCTTAAAAAAGCTTTAATTTTATATGGAGTATTAATTTAAAAAATTAAATGTACTCTGTGTATTTAGGTGTTTGGCTAAAATTTAAGTGTTCATGATTTTTTTTCGTCCCGGATGGGTCAGATGGAGTTTTGAATTTAAGAGGTCTCATTCCAACATGTAATTGTATTCGTAGTATTTTTTGATTTGATTTGGATGAGCTTTGCTTGGAGTACACACTTTTTGTGTACACACTTTTTACACATGTCTGTGTAAGGTTTTTTTGTCTGTACAAATAAAATGAATTTGACAAAATACGTTTTGTCTGTACAGACAAAAAAAAACCTTACACAAACATGTATAAAAAGTGTGTACACACAAAAGTGTATACGAAAAGAATTTTTCTTTTTGTTTTAAGGAAAGCAAAAGATTATTTCACGGGCCGGATCATGTCTGTGCTAAGATTTTACTTGTAAATCCAAATCAAAGTCTCCAGACTACTTTAGTCAAATATAAAAATGATTGTAACACACTGAAGCTAACCCCAAAAATATGTATGGCAAAAGGGGGGGAAAGAAGCAAGAAGCCCAACTAAAGCCGAACATGTAAAACTACTGGGCCCCAATAACAAAGACCAATAATGCCTTCAAGATTCCTTTTTTCACGTTTGTCGATACACAAATTTGATCGTCAATATTTTTAATTATGTATTAGTAAAAGAAAATTAAAAATCAGATTACGAAACTTAGTAACGAAATGAATCCAACAATAGTTTTGGAAAATAATAATTCACATGCATTAAAAAATGAAAACCAATAAAAAAAGTACATGAATAATATATAAATTGAAATGTTGCGACTAATACGATAACTATGATACTATTAAACTATTATAGATGTAGCTAGACTGTGCTAGTATGTTGTCTGTTGCCTGCATAGCCGGTGTCCGCCGGTTTATTCTCGCTCTCCCTCTTCCTCTTGATCACAACGGGCCATGTTATGGCTTCCAAGATAACAGCCACAATGCCCAAGGCAACGATCACCCCGGTGTACGCCTTCTTCCAAGTATCCTCCCTCCCCAATGCATCAAATCCCTTGTACACGTTGGTGATGCCCAGTGCAATCGTCGTGTACCCCACTATGGTATGGAAGTACTTCCAAAGCGGTCGATATTTGTGATCCTTATGTGGTCTCACAAATGCCGCGGTTAACTGAAGAGTGGCAAGGCAGAAGAGGGTGATGCCGATGCATCTGTGGGTCTTGAAGGTAATCCCCTTGGAATCTGAACCCAGCTTCATGCCCGTGCCCCAACCGGCGACGCCTATGACGTAGCCGGAGAATTGGCAGCCAGCGTGTAGGTAGAACCAGGCCGGGTCGGCAGACGGGATTACCTTCACGTACCTTGCAATCATCGCGCCTACGGGCATCAGTATACCCCAGCTGATGGCGTTCAGCACGCCATGAATGTTTCTTCTGCGCATAACAGACGTGAATCGACTGTTTTTTCCGCCACCGGAGGTGGTCTGGCCTGTGGCGAAATCGACTGTCTGAATAGATACCATGTTGGGTCCAGTCATAGGGTGCCTTCCGGGAGTGGTGCCGAGCATTGGCCCGTTCTGCCAGACGGTGGTGAAACTGGTCCCGTTGGCAGGGAGGACGAGGGTGGCGAATATGACGACCTGTTGGTTGGCGAACTCCGCTGAGATACTCGGCACCGTGAAGCTCAGAGGGCCCTGCGCAAGCTGAGTGGCGTAGCTGGAGACGGGGGAAGTGTAGGCGCGGAAGCCGCCGCCGCGGGCGTTAGGAACGGCCACCAGGCACTGCGAGCCGACCATCCCCTTCCCGACGAGATTGAGTGCCCAAGACACCCAGGAGGAGGCGGTGACATTGGTCTGGCGGTAGGCGATATCGGCGGTGTGGTTGCTGCTGTGGTAGGTCCAGTGGAGGAAGGAGTTGAGGACGGGAAGACGGATGCAGGTGGCGAATTTGGCGTTGTTGGAGAAGACGTGACTCGAACAATTTTGAGCGTGGCAGTTGGATGCCAGCAAACCCAAAATCAACAGCGGAATCCACAAAAGCCGATTCATCGTTTTCGCGTGTTCTTCGATCTATCAGATCTCCGGCCGGGACACTCGCCGCTTTCTTGCTTCCTCCACCCAAAACAAGGTCGGAGATGGAAATTAATTGTCAAGAAAGGAAGTAGGTTGCAGGCAGCATAGATGGGTGAAATTTGGGAAAGCAGTGCCTTGAGTTTTTATAGATTTCTCGTGGCGGTGGATGAAATTGATTTAGGAAACTAAATTCGGTATGAGTGCTTTGAATCACAGTAATTGTATACAAACCAGATTCTCATTCTTGCTATTCACGGTACAATGAGTAACAACTAATTAATTCGAGTTTTAATTATTATAATGATTTATTCGTGACTATATTATTCTCAGTCTCATATTTATCTTCATAGTTACTATTCACATAGTCAACTCAAATTATTCTTACTCATTTACTTTATATATCAAATTTTTATCAAACTTAAATTTTCTTGATCAGACTTTGTAGCGGATTTAATGTAGTTTCTGAATATGTAAATTTAATTTACTAAAAAAAATCTGAGTGTGAACAGGGATCAAGTTATTTTATTGTCAGTCAAGCATCGTAAACCGAACTACGAAGATAAATATGGGACGGAGAGAGTATATGTAATGATAATAGGGTGACGTACTAAAAGCAGTGGAGGAGCTAGGGGGGGCAAGGGGGGGCAAGCGCCCCCGCTCCGACTAATTTTTTTTACTAGTATTACTTATAATATGTTTCTTGCCCCGGCTTCTTTTTTAATTTTAAAAACAATAAGTACAACTTAAGGTTATTTTAAGATGAAGTGTTAAAATAAATAAAAAACTATTTTCAGAAAAAGTAAAAAAAATGAAATATAGAATAAAAGGGGATTAATGTATGTAATACATTTGGCATCCCAATTTGCCAATAATCCGGAGTAGCTCAGTGGAGACAGGTAACACGCTCCCTTTGTATCACCCGTGTTCGAATCTCCCCAGGACGGATTAAGTTAAAATTGTTTTGCTTTTCTTCCGCCCCAATTCTTCCAATTTTATTTTCTTCAGCCTACAACTCGTCCCAATTACGAGTTGTACAACTTTTAAAACACTTTTTGTTACGGAGTATAAAAGACCACGGTGTGATCAATATGCCGCATTCAGTGCTTTTAATTTCATCTCATGACAATTTGTTGTCAATAATGACCCCCTTAACAATTTTTCGTTAAACGGGAACTCGAATCGATATATATATATATAAGAGGAACTTTTTAAGAGCATACAAAGCGCCACATAATAATGACATGTTATTATATATAACAATTATTTACTTATTTTTATACCTTTTGTTTTTATTAGATTCTATTTTTGATTGCATATTGATATGGAAAAAAAAAATCTTATAAATCCACCTTAATTAATTTGGTAAGCTTCAAATAAGTAAAATAATTTTTTGTTATTAAAGTGAAATTCTAATAACGTTTGTTGATATATAAACTAATTTATATTAGTTTACTACACCGAATTAAATAGAAACAAATATGCAAATTAGTTTACTTATTAATTTGACACCTATTAATAAATTAGTAAGCTTCAAATAAGTAAATAATTAAAAATAAAATTAAAAATTACAACCAACATAAAGTATATATATTTTCACAAGTAAATGAGTTCGTATACCGTACGACCGTCCCAACATGAGCACCGTACACCCACTCCCAAAACTTTTTTTAAAAATGGTAATAACTTTTTAATTTTTGATCCGATTTTTATAAAATATATATCAACATTTTTTATTTTTCATGATCTTTCAAATGAGACCAATATTGCCTATGTAATTTTAACATATTGTCGAACTATTATATTAACCTATGTAAAATATGTAATTTTACGTATAAAAAGATGTAACTCATGTCTAGTCATGCCAAATGCAACTCGTGTGTATAAATATGTAACTCAATGTGTAAAAATATGTAACTTTACGTGTAAAAATATGTAACTCGCGTTCAGACAGGTCAAATGTAACTCGTGTGTATAAATATGTAACTCGCGTGTATAAATATGTAACTTTTTTATAAAAAGATGTAACTCGCTCATAAAAAGATGTAACTCAATGATGGAGTATATGGGTCTGAGCCCCCGGACCCACATACTCGGAAGAACAGAAAGCACAAGGCACAGAGTGGCGCCCTCGTCGGCCAGGACGCCCCCGTCGGCCGAAAAGGGGCCAACTCGGATTATGGTCCTGAGTCCAAGGAACCCGGGTGCCCTCGTCGGCCGTGCCCTCGTCGGCCACGCCCTCGTCGGCCACGAAGACCTCACAGAATCGGATTTTATACTTACTCATTTGTACAGCCCATTAGTGGCTTTGTATTCGGCCCAGTAGCGGTCCGGTTGTAAATGGGTCTCCCAAGCCCAAGGCTTGGGAGCCCAACCCTAATTTTCTCTATAAATACTCCCCTTGGGAGTAGTTATAGGGGTGACAAAAATCATTCTATTGAAGCATATTATTGCACTTCTATCTCTAGCTCTCACTTCTCTCTAGATATACTCTATCATTTGGTGCTCTCGTTGAGAGCTAGAACAATCAAGTTAGCACCCTTCGTCGCTACCAAGCGCAGCTAACCACTGATCATGGGGAGAACTAAGTCAAACCGCAACCTCGTCAGCAAAGTCATCCCTGAGGACCAAGAGCCCAGGGAGCACGATGAGGACGCCACGGCCGACCAGGCCGGCGGAGGGGATCTCTTCCAGGAGGCCTTCAACCTCACAACGGACCTCCGCAACCAACTCAACGGCGGCGCCCCTGATGCCCGCCTCGGCTTGGACAAGAAGCGAGCTGAAAAGACGGATCACGCCCCGGCCCAGCCTATGGCCACGGCCTCTCCGTCCGTAGATCCACAGGTCCAGGCCGCGCTGTCAGCCATCATCGCCAGCCTAGCTCAGAACCCCACCGTCCTCAGCGCACTCTTGCCAAGGACCGGGGGGAACGTCACTCAACCTCCTCAGCACCAACCGTTGGCCGTCCAGATAGGCAACAATGAGGGGGTTGTGGCCCAGGACACGACGTCGTCCCACTCCCACCCTGCTTCCCCTCTTCGGCCCGGGCAGACCCCAGCGCGTGGAAAAGCCTCTGCCTTCAATAGGCTAGGTGACATGCGTCGTCGTCCGGTTTCGGAAAGGATGGCGGGACGGATTGGTGATCCTCGTCCTGGCTCGCCAAGGGAAAGTTTGGGGTCTGTGTCCCGGACAGCGGACCAGCCCCGCCCGGACAAGGGCAAGGGGAAGTTGCACGAGGATGACGTGCGTCACCAGATCAACGCGGCTCACAACGACCGCCTGAGGAACCAGCCGGGCGCCGCCGCGGCCGATAGGGACCCCCGGGACGAGGTCATCGCCCAGCTGGAAAGGAGGCTGGCTCAGATGGAGGCCAAGCAGTCGGCCAACATCCCTACGGCCGGTGCCTCCAACGACCCCGGCCTCAACGCGCTCATGAACAAAGTTAGCGCCCTGGAGAGGGAGCTGGCCGAAGGGCGAGGTGACCCCATCATCCAGGTCAGGACCAGGACCCCTTTCACTAACAGGGTCCTCTCGGCCCCCATCCCTGAGAAGTACAGGGGGAACACCATCAAGTCCTACGATGGACGATCAGACCCCCAGGAGCACTTCAGCCGTTACCAGAACAACATGCTGATGGTGAACGCGTCCGACGAATACCTCTGCCGTTGGTTCCTCTCTACTCTCGAGGGGCCAGCGTACGAGTGGTTCAACGGGCTCCCAGAAGGAAGCATCGACTCATGGCAGGATCTCACCCAGCGCTTCCTCACTCACTTTGCCGGGAGGAAGCGCGCCAAGAAGTATTTCACCCACCTCCTCTCCGTCAAGCAGCAGCACGAGGAGTCCCTCCGGTCATTCATCGATCGGTGGACAAGGGAGACCGAGGAGGTCGAGGGGGCCGATGAGCGCACCCTCCTCGCCTTGTACCATGGAGCCCTCCGCAGCTCCCCGTACGCTAGGAGCCTCATCACCGACCCCCCGAGGTCGTACGCCAAGGCGCTCCAGCGCGGAGGCTTGTATGCCGACGCCGACGAGCTCCACAATCACAAGAGAGAGGGGGGCCATCCCCCCAAGAAGACAAATCATTCGCCGGCCCCGGGTCCGTCCCTGGCCGGCCAGGGTGCCCAGGGCCGCCACGGCTCTGGTGGACAAAGTAAGAAGGACCGCCACTAGCGTCCGAGGTTGGAACGGCCGGGGGTAACCCTCACCCACCCAGTCGGTACCATCCTCGATTATGCCGAGAAGCACGGCCTCATCGAGCAGGCTCCTCGGCCGGCCGAGGAGATCCTTGCCATCCAGCAGAGCGGTACATACTGCCGGTTCCACAAGAATTCATCGCACAACACCGACGATTGCATCACACTGAAGAAGGCCATCGAGCGCCTTATTCGCCAGGGGGAACTCTCCCAGTTTGTCAAAGGTGGCCCACGCAAGAACACTTGGGTAAACACCGGCAAACATGGGGGCGAACCCTCAGCGAAGAAGCGGGAGATTGGTAGGCTCAGCGACGACGAGGACTTCGAAGAGCCTCCACCGAAGAAGAATCACATCCACCTCATCGTAGGTGGGAACACTTGGGGGGACTCCGCCACTCAGAGAAAGAAATGGGCACAATCCCTTTACATTGGGGAGGTATCCCACGTTCCCCCCCAGCCGAAGAAGCAGCGAACGGAGGCGATCACCTTCACCGACAAGGATCTGCCTCCAGGTACGGAATCACACAGGGACGCCCTCGTCATCCGGTGTGAGATCGGTGACTCCATCATCCACCGTACTTACATCGATACGGGGAGCTCCGTCAACGTGATGTACCTGGACACATTCAAGCAGCTGAAGCTGGACAGAGCTCTGCTGAAGCCGATCAAGACCCCGTTATCCGGCTTCACCGGGGACTCTATCGACGCCGAGGGCACGATAGTCCTCCCCGTGGAGGTCGGTGACGGCCCCCACCACGCCAAAATTGACATGGAGTTCATGGTGGTCAACCTCCAGTGCTCCCACAACCTGATCTTGGGCCGGCCAGCGCTGGAGGACTTGGAGGCCATCATCTCCATGAAGCACTTGTGCCTGAAGTTCCCCACCCACGACGGCATCGGCTACGCCAGAGGAAATCAGAGGAT